GTCCAGCTCACACTTGAAGGGAAGAGATTACACACGGCATGAAGACCAGGAGACAAGGATCATCAGCAATGCTACCAGAGCTGCCTACTGCAGTGACATAATTCACCCGCTGGCGTCTCCTTTGCTGCTTTGGAGAATCTCTGACCATTATTAAATAAGTAAAATCCTGACTGATACTCATCCTGGATCACAGTGTAGAGTTTTGCATGGAAAAAGCAGTTGGATCACAGACTAACATCTAACAGCCAGAGTTTGTCCTTATGACTTTGGAGCTTGTATTTTAAAAATTGTTCATTTTCTTTGCTCACAGTACCATTTTACATATGGGATGTACCTTTCTCAGTCACTCAGCCTCTTGTTGACCATCTGTTTGAGCTACTCTGGAGGACCACTGCATGTCTTTTTGAGGTGCCTCTAAGGCCCCCAAAGTGAATTGTAAGTCTGTATCATCACCTATGCTTACAAACAGACCTGGAGGGCTTGTTAAAACACAGCTTGCCGGCCCCACTCCCAGAGATTCTGATCCAGTGGGTCTGGGTGGGGCCGGAGAATCTACATTTCTAACAAGTTCCAGGTGATGCTGGTCCAGACCACGGGCTTGGAGAAGCGCTGGGCTGGAGCCTGGAGACCGTGAGCAAGGAGGCTGCGTGGCTGGTGAGTTCCAGGGTCATCTTGGCATTTCTGGGATTCCTTCTCTCCCCTAAAGTTTCAGTAGGGCCTGGCCCAGTCACCTTTGATGGATTTCTGAACAAAGTGAACCTTCCTAATAGTTGGCCCTTATGCACTTGGCTGGGTAGTATTATAATTAAAGTCCAGAGATGACCCAGAAACGTCCCTGGATTCAGTGCTGCAATCTTTTGTTCAGATACACTGGGGGAATGGGAGTTTTTTCAGAATCTTTTCCTTTCCTAACTTGTTTCTGAATATATTGAAACTTTGAAACTAAGAAGCAGGAAATTGTTAATGCAACTGAAGGAACAAAAGGCATGACGGAGTCATCACAAGCTGGAATCCTTCCCATCAGCTGTACCTACTACAGCTGTTCGACCCATCCCTCCCTCCCACTGCTTGAATTCAGCAGCTCCTCGCCTCTTTCCCTCCCTTGCAGGAGGGCACTCCGGGCCCTGCATATTCGGGGTCTTTGTGCCCCTCCAAATAGAAAGGTCATAAAAAGGGGCACTTTCCTCCGAGCTGATGCAGCCCACAGCCAGGAAAGCAGGACCAGGGCTGTACTTGGGTCCCACTCACTTCTTTAGTCAGTGCCCTGGTCTAGTCCCCTGACTGCACATAGCTGCACAGGGCCCAGCACACCTACATCCACCATCTGGCGCCCCCACCTGCCCCGTCCACAATCTGGGCCACCGGTATGATCTTCCGCAACCTCCGTTCTGATTGCACCCTGGCTTCACAGTCTGCAGTGGGTATCCAGGCCTCACAGAGCTGCAGCCCTTCCCTGCTGCACCCAACACCCTTTATGATGGGAAACTTGCCTCTGTTTTCAGCTTCTTTGCCAGCCTCCTTTGCTCATAATCCCAAATCCCTGCCAATGGAGTTACTAACAGAGCCTGGATACGGCCTTCTCCTTTATGCCTCTGTGGCTTTGCACACACCATTCCTTAGACTGGAGAGCTTTCCTTTGTGCCTTTTCCCCTTTGTTTGCTCGGCCCATTTCTATTCATTCTTTTAAAAATTAATTTTTTTTTGGGGGGGGGGGGTAGGAGGGAGGAAAAATAATTTCATGTAAAAGAAATATGGATTTATTTTTAAACCTGGAAAATACAACGAATTATGTAAAATATATTCATAAAAAAGGTAACTGGTTCACACTTTCATTTATTTTTTCAAGGTATTTTCTACATATGTACTTTTATGGATCATATTCAGTTTGTATCATGCCTTTTTTCCTCCTACTTTAGCACTATAAGCTTTCTTCTCATTTTTCATAAATGAGTTGAAAACATTCTTTAATGGCTGTATAATGTTCATATATGTTTGTGTGTGTGTGTATGATATTTCTAAAGAGTTTGTTTAACCCTTGCTTTGCCGTTTAGATGGTTTCCTTTTCATTTTTTGTGCTACTATATATAATGCTACAAAGAAGAGTTTTGTTGTTCATTATATTCCACAAGTGAGTGAGATCATGTGATACTTATCTTTCTCTGACTGGCTTATTTTACTTAGCATAATGCTCTCCAGGTCTATCCATGCTGTTGCAAACAGTAAGAGTTCTTTCTTTTTTGCGGCAGCATAGTATTCCATTGTGTAGATGTACCACAGTTTTTTAATCCACTCATCTGCTGATGGGCACTTAGGCTGTTTCCAAATCTTAACTATTGTAAATGAGGTTTGTACATAACTGTGCCCACCCCTCTGATAGTTTTCTGGGAGAGAATTCTAAGTTGGGGTTACCGGAACAGTAGAAAAGAACACTTTTAGGCTCTTGATTTCTACAGTGGGGCCTTGACTTACGAGTGTCCCGACTAACGAGTTTTTTGAGATACCAGCTGTCTCTCCGTTGATTTTTTGCATTGAGTTGACAGAGTAATTTGAGTTAACGAGCTCCTTAACGAGCTCCTTAACGAGCTCGGTCTCGGAACAAATTAAACTCGTAAGTCAAGGCCCCACTGTACTGTCAGGTTGCTATCAAGAAAAAGTGGACACACTGACAAACTCACCAGGGGAATATTCATGTTGCTCTTACTTCATCAGAGCCTCTGTTATTGAGAGTCATACTTCGTTTGGTCCTTGAGAATTTAATTTGAATTTCGCACTTTTCTGATTAGGCAGGACATTTTTCTACATTTATTAACCATACGTATCGCCTCTTATGTAAATCACAGCTTTGTGTCCATTGTCCAGTTTTGAACTGGAGTCAAAATTCCTACTCATTTTCAATTCTTGCCTTAGCATCTTCTCACTGAGAAGCTCTGACAACGCTCCACGTCCCCCCTAGTCAAGGGCTCCTCTTCTAATAGCTCTGTGTGCACATTCGCTATTGGGATTTCTACCCTCTGCTGTAATTGTAGGAGCCCGTGTCCCCCATGGCTCCTGGGCCAGCTCTGAGTCAAATGTGTTCTTTTCCTCAGCACTAACCCTGGTACAATGTACGTGTCAATGACTAAATCAATGAAGATCAAGGAAGTGTTGATTTTTAACTTAACATGAATGTCATCAGGGTAGCTTATCTCCATTTTGTAGAGAAAGGGTCATTATGCTGACTTATTTAAAATAATATAAATGCTGATAAAACAGCCCATTAACCTGCTAAAGAAAGAAGTACTCCTGGAATTGTTTATTCAAAAAAGAAAACAAAACCTCTTTCTTTTTTAGAAGAAAAGTAATTTCCTCTGCAAAATATTATAAAGATGTTTATTGATTCATCTGTGACCTTTTCAGGTGACCTTGACAATGATCACAACACACCTTCCAAAAGGAGAACACAAAAAACTTCACTTCCTCCACAATAAAACACGTATGTACTCACATATTAAATATACAAATGAAAATTAAACATTGAAAATGACTGCATTTTTCACCCCATCATACTCCCAAAATTATAATTCAGGTATTCCTAATTGGCCATTTCACAGTGTTGCTACACACACACACACACACACACACACACATCCAGGTTAATATCATCATTGATATAAACCAAAGGTGCAAAGTGGGGTTGCTGCTCTGTTGGCAATAAGTCCAATGCTCTTGTCTTTGGAAGGGATGGCTGACCCGGCGTCTCGGGTCTGTTCAAGGGCAGCCGGCTCTCCATCTCAGAGTCTGCGTGTGTCAGGGTACCAAGGAACTCTGGAGATGCTGAAAATGCCCGAATGTCCCCCATCTGTTTTTTTCACCAAAGGTAAAAGCTTTTACCTGTGTGCTTGTTTAGTGTAACAGCTGCAGCGTATCTTCCCCTCTTGTTCCTTTTTCATAGTGTTGCTAACCTTTGTAAACATTTAATGTACAATTAAAGTGCTCAGCTGTGCTCCATCTGAGCCCATTCTGCTCGTTTTAAATGTGCAGAGCTCTCCGGAACCTCCACAAGATCTTACTGTTTCCACAAAGAGCAGAATGCGGCTGTCAATAGGTAGATGTTAAGGTCCCTGCCACCACCCTCAGCTGAGGTTGACTAAGTCCTGGGCGGGCTTTTCGCTCTGCTGAATGCCCTGCGGCTTCGCACAACCACAGGGAGTAAACATGGCTCAGCTCTGCTCGGCTCTCTGGAAATTCTCACATCACTGCTTTCAAAGAAGCATAAATCCTTCCTCCCCAACATCCATTAATATGATAAACCTATAGAATGCAGGTACCAAAAATTGAAACAATATTTTGTAGCCACTCCCAAATTTTGATTCCTACTGATATCCCTGCTTCAATACACAGGAAACTGCACTTCAAAAGATAAATATTAATTTTTCTTCTCTGGGTAGTGGGCATAGTCACATCTTGCCTTAAACCTACTTATTTATAGCTTTGCCTCTCCAAACCCCTGACTTGGCTGTATTTCCCATCGCACTTCTCTGAGGAACATCGATAATTCAGACATACTTAGATCAGTTGGAAAAATAATAATAAATGGGTAATTGTGATACACAATAAAAAAGCAGGCTTCACTAGAAATGAATAAGGAATTTTAAGAACACCCATCACATAACTGTAAACAGTGGTGTTTCTACTGGGTTTAGACCCAGCCGTCTCAAGACCTCTCTAGAAAATGAGGGACACCAAGTACAAATGTTGGAACAATTAATATCATTGCTTTAAAACTTTTAACATTGTTCACAATATTTAAAATCCAGTCACTATTAATACCTTGAAATGAAAAAGAAAATGTACCTAACTGGTTCAAGTATATACTAGAGTAACAATGCCTTAAGATAGCAAATACTTTTGAAAACACATTTAGATGTTTTGTGATGGGAGATAACTTCGGAGGATTTAAATGGAAGAGTTGTTATTAGAATGGGTCTTTGGTGGTAAATGTGATACGTTCCTCAGCTTACCGGAGACTGCAAGACTTTCCATCTGAGTTTGGCAGGCAATGATGTGCCTATTTCTATACGTAAGCGGCCTTATGAAAATCTTGTGAAAAAACATCCGAAATACTGATGTCCTGAAAATGATGAAAATCCAAGGGTCCACAATTGAGATCACAGATATAAAACGCAAGGCACTGAGGTCTCCGGCTTCTTCAGAAGTTCTGTTTTTCTTGGTGACAGCTTTAAATGCTCCATAGTAAGCACGATACTGTTTTAAAGGGAAAATATATCCATTATAATGTTGAAAGGTGGATGGCAGCAATACATTCACTTATTTCAATCAGGATACATCACTTTTCTGTAAGAATATGGCAGCTCGGCTTGGAATATGCGTTTTGGGCAAATTTACTGCAGCTGATGGGTGCAAGTGAGGAGCCTGGCAGGTGCAGAGCCAACATGGGAGGCTCAGTGGAAGTGGGGATTCCTGGGAGTCCCGGTCTAAGTCCCTAGAACAGTGGTTCTCAACCTTCCTAATGCCGCGACCCTTTAATACAGTTCCTCATGTTGTGGTGACCCCCAATTTCATTGTTACAAATTGAACATAATTAAAGCATAGTGATTGATCACAAAACAATATGTAATTATATATGTGTTTTCCGATGGTCTTAGGCGACCCCTGTGAAAGGGTCGTTCGACCCCCAAAGGGGTCGCGACCCACAGGTTGAGAACCACTGCCCTAGAGGCTGTTCTACCTGCTGTGAGCATGGGAGTTTCTAGGTCCCTGGCTGGCCCTGCAGAGGAGGAGCTGAGGTGGGACTAATCCAGTCCACTGAATCTTTTACAAACACGTCCATAAATACTGAGGTTCTCCTCCCATATTCCCTTCAGTTTTCCTTTCTTTCTTCTGCCTACTTCCTATCCTCTCTCTTTTTTTAAAAAAACACACACCTATATTTTTATTGATTTCAGAGAGGAAGGGAAAGGGAGGGATAGAAACATCGAGGATGAGAATCATTGATCAGCTGCCTCCTGCAACGCCCCTACTGGGATCGAGCCCACAACCTGGGCATGTGCCCTTGACTGGAATTGAACCCTAGACCCTTCAGTCTGCAGGCTGAGGCTCTATTCTCTGAGCCAAACTGGCCAGGGCCCTATCCTCTCTTATTAGTCAATTCAGAAATAAGTCACCCTTGTGAAATGTCACACATACGGAGACATCAATGAAATAGCAGCATCTAGGGCAGTGGTTCTCAACCTTGGCTGCACATTAGAATCACCTGGGAATCTTTTTAAAATCCTGATTTCTGGGCCTCATCCTCCGGAAATTCTGTTTCTTTGTTATGGGGTGGAGCCACAACATTAGTTGATTCTAACATGCAGCCAAGGTTGAGAATCACTGGTCGAGGGGCTGTGAAGAGACAGGAAACACTCCAATGAAAGACAGGAGACCTGCGAAAGGACCTGGCCAACTCATGTTAATTACTTAGCATAGATGATTACCTTTCTGAGGTCAACATCCTCTTTTCACACTAGGAAAAAAACCACACATAGACATATAAGCCTACTTACCTGTGCCCAGTCACTCCTACTGCCTTGATCCTCTCTGAGGTCTCTGTGGCCCCCTCAGAGCCTGCAAACTACTGAAGGGCTTTTCCTGCCATTCAGCCAACACTGCTGCCTAGCCCAGCACTACCCCTACCTCCCTCTCCACTGGAGGCCAGCCACTTTTTCGTGATGCTATTATACTCGAGGTACCTACTGAGATTCTAAATCCATAATGGGACAAAATGGACCCTAATGGGACAGGAAATAGGCTAACTCAGCATTGGTGGGAGGAGACATGAATAAGTGCACAGACCAGACCCACTTAGGGCAATCAAGGGACATCTGCTGGAGAAGATGTGTTTTCCCATCATTGTTTCCTTACTTTTTTGCTCTCTCTACAGAGCATTTTAGTGGCCTCAGCCACTCCTATCTAGATACACCGTAACTGGAAGACCTCTCGCATCATCAGGGCTTAATAATACTAATAGTGACAATAATAGCTAATGCCCATGTTCCCAGGCCCTGTTCTAAGCATTTTACTTTGAAAACATCATTTCATCCTCATAACAATCCCATGAAGGAAGTACAACCATTATCTCCATTTTAGAAGTGGAAACTGATTGCTTGCCTCTCAGGACCAACCTCAAATATCACCCGCTTCAGGGAGTCCCAGTGAAGTAGTGGCCACGCACACCAACTTCCGAGCCTGAGTCTCCTGGTTGGAGTCCCCTCATTGGCTGTGTGACTTCGGGTAGGTCTCCTCAGCTACATGGGGATACTTGTACTTCCTTCCAGGATTGTCAGGAAATTTGAATAAGATGGTATGAGTAAAACCTTGACAACAAGTCCTAGCATATAATGAGAACTCAATAATTAGCTATTATTGTTATTATTTTATCAACTAGGAGAGGACCTTTTCCTTCTCTAAACTCTCTTATGGGCCTAATTACTCCCACCCATCCCGGTATTATAGCTTATGTGGGCAAATGTGATGATTTTCTCATTTTATATCTCCACAATGACTTACAGTATATTGACTGTTGTAGGTAACAGACATGTGCTGGATGGATAAATGGCTGACAACAGGCTATGCAATTTGGTTGATTTAACAAGCAAACGCTTACATGAGTCCATCTTTACATTTGTTCCTTTCTCCTCAAAGTGTAGTGCAGCAAAATGTAATCCCAAGTATTTGAAAATACTAGACTAGCTGGGACCTTCGTAAATGAATGGCACTTACATAATTAAAACAAATCATTTTATTTTTAAGCAGTATTTGTCCAAGTTAATCCTATTGCATATTATTAGGTTAATTGTATTTTCAAGTCACCTGATTTGTAATAGAAGTGTATTGATCTATACCTGGACTTTTAATTTAATATAATTTATTTTTAATTTTTTAGTTTACTAACAATAATTCATTTATGGCAGTGATCAAAGTACACATTCTCTTAATTCTTACAAATTATCAATTTGAACACAATTTCGACTTTTGAAAAATCTCTGTCCATCAAAAGTATTCTCTAGAACATACTTTATAAACTTCTATAAGAGAGGCTAAAATACTGAATAACCTCAGAATATACACCTGGCATTTTTTTAAGTAGGTCAATTTACACAGAGAATCGGTGTGAGAAAAGCGCCCTCTGTTGGATTTAGAAGTCCTGGAGGAAATGTTGCTATCGCCAACTCTGGAGACCTATCTTAGCGGGATATTTCCGTTCTCAAGAGCCCTCTTGATTCTAAGGCCCTCTTCTATCCGGTCCACCCATCACAATACTCTGCCCTCTGCTCTAGCCCTTTAAATCCACTCCTGACCCTTTCCCCTGGGCCCGATTCTTGCCTACCAGTCCTTACATGCCTCTAAGAGCCTCCTGTGGAAAGAGCATCCTGCCCCTTCTTTCTGCATCAAAATGAAACACACACAGGAGTTATCTCAATACATGCAGGATGTCCTCCACCACTTCTCTGACTCCATGGACTTGGATATATGCAATTACTTATCTTCACGTGGCTTCTAGACCTCTCAATTATCACATCTAACTTACACATGAACATCCTCTCTCACCCACCGCTGCTCCTTACCAACCTCCAATACATTGTGGTTTTCTAAGATAAATATAATTTTGATGAAAACATATGTTACCCGCATTAGAGAATGTGCTGAAAACTGCCTCTAAAGCTCATTGTATTTGCTTACTTTCTTCCTACTGTATCAAATTGGAAATTTGGAAATTCAATCTAGTTAAGTGTCATGCTCTAATTCAGCATCACAGCAAAGTTAATTTAAAAAAGCATATTCCAACACACTTTTCATCAGCTTAATGAAATGCAATACTTATACTATGAATACAAGTGTTTCTTAAAGTTTCCCCCCTTTCCCTAGATCCATTCCTTGAAGAGCGATTTTCAAAGGGTCTCTAATGCCCTTTCAGTGTGTCTGCAGGGTCAAAACTATCTTCATAAAAAAGACATGGTTTGCCTTTTTGCCTTTCACCCTCTCATAGGTACACAGTGAGTTTTATGGAGGCTACCTGACGTATGATGACATCCATTCCATTGCCAGGGCTAATAGAATATGTGCTGGTGTATTCTTGTGTTTTCTAGAGCTTTCTAAGGTAGTTGGTTTAAGAAACACATATGTGCATTTTCAGAGACTGTTCTCCGTACTTCTGTGCTCTTAACATGCTTTTGTTTTTCTGTTTTACCTGCTGTCTTTATCATCACTTAATCATTTTTGAAATACCAGCTTTCTCCTTGCATCTTTGCAAAAATACAAGAAGTACATTTTGTTAACTTGTTTTGAAATCATAGTTTAAAATTTTTCTTATTTTTAATTGCTAACATGAGAAATACTGATACATATAATCCACATAAAAGAAGGCTCTTTGGGTTCTTAATAATTTTTAAGAGTAAAAGAAGTTTGGACTAAACTTGGACTAAAACAAGTTTGAGAACCATTACCTTAGAATATAATGCTGTCTCCTGAGTAGGAGCTATATATATAGGGTTTCCCCCCAAAATGTATCCACACTTTAATAGCTGATAGCTCAATTTTGAATGTATTTTAACAACACTGCCTTTATAATTATTCAAAGTGTGTATATGTATATTCAGATCGTTATATATAGCTATCTTACAGAGCAAGTATGGTTATCCTTGTCTGAGAGAAATTGTGGTTAGAAAGGTAACTAAGCCGCTGTCATAGCTAGTAAGGAACGCACCTTAATCACACCTGTGTCTGATGCGGATTTCCTACCCTTTCCAGAAAATGATAGTTCCTGTGGAGAATGCTGTCTGCATTGCATATCTTTGGAATTTTACATGCTTTTTAGGAAATCATTTTCAAATCCACTATTCCCATCAATCCTCGAAATCCCATACGAGTCACAACTTCCCTTGGAGATAATCCGGATATGATGTTCTTTCACTGTGTTATGCTGCTTTCGGCATTGTTCTACCTAAAGCACTCAGACTCAGGATATAATAGCCAGGCACTTGGCTATTGTCTGCTTTTAGCACAGCATAAGTAAATAAGACTGTTGCTTAGAGCAGGGGATCTGCAAACATGTTCTATTAAGAGCTGGACAGTAAATATTTTCTATTTTATGGGATAAAAAGCAAATAGTGAATATTTGGTGGGTACTTATATGATGAGAGAAGACACATTTCCTACAACTTTTATTAATGAAATTAAAAATCCTATATAATAAAAGGGTAATATGCAAATTGTTCCCTCCACCGGGAGTTCCATGGGGAGTTCAACCAGGGGGCGGGGCTGCTGGCCCTGATCAGCCCTCCCACCCCAACCGGGGTTGGGCCGGCTTGACCCCAGCCATGCATGAATTCGAGCACCCAGCCTCTACTGTAATAATAATTAAGTACACTTATTTTTTATTTTTTGGTAATACATGTCTACTAAGGAGAATAATAAGAATCTTTTTTTCTTGGAATAATGTTTGGCTTAACTGGGGGTTCAGAGTTCGTGTGTCCTATCATCAAATTGATTGCAAGTGTTCATTTGTAAAAACTATTCTTAATTTCATGGCTGTACAGAAACAGCGGGCAGGATGGACTTGGCCTGTGGGCTGTGGTTGGCCAAGTCCTACTTCAGAGTGTGGTTCTCCAAATGTGACCCCTGGATCAGCAGCTCCCACCTCGCCTGGGAACTCGCCAAGAATGAGAATTCTTCAAAAACGTCTGACTCAGAAACTCTGGGGAATGGAGTCCAGCTCGCTATGTTTTTTAGAAGTCCTGTTGATGATTCGGAGCCTGGTAAAATTTGAGAACCACTGCTAAATATCTACACCTATATCCATATCTATTTATATAGCTACAGATTTATTGACTTACTTTTGGGTGCTCTGATCCTAACTCTGCATGATGAAGCTATAGACCCCCCCCCCCCCCACACACACACACATACACACTCCTTAACCCTTCATTTAAGGGAAAATCACATCATATGTCACTTTCATCCACCCTTGAAAGTAACATCCAAAATTGATATGTTGCTACAAGAAATGTAACTTTCCTGTTCACAGAAGTCTCAAGAACTCCAAAGGCACTGAATTGGCAGAGCATCTGTTTAAATGTTGCTCATGTTGAACAAGTACATGGCGGTGGGGGTGGGAGGGGAGAGGGAGAGGAGTGACACTGAAAAGGTTTTCTCCAGCCTCAGCCACACTCTCAGGTGTCTTGCGGACTCCGGTCTTGGCTGGGACCCCAGGAGGAAATACCTTCAATCTCCACCCCCACCCCCTTTAGTAAATTGAAACCAGAGATAATGGCTTTCCTGTCACCTCGGTTGCCAAGACAGAAAGAAAACCAACCTGTCCAGACAGGTTGTCAAAATGACACCAGTGACTGAAAAGTACTTTCCCAACAGCCTCTCCGCCTCAGTCACCACGACCCACTCGGGCAGCAGCACCGGACACAGCACCCGGACTCCTCTAAGCTTACGCAGGAGTTTGGAGAAACTAAACCTATGCTTTCAGCCACTCGCCTCTGCACACCAGAATCACACCTTCTCTGATTCCCTTTCCACGCCAAAACCCGGGAGCAGAACTCCCAGATCCCATTCGATCACTACGGATGCCATTACAAGCATGGACAGGTCTAACGAAATCAAACATTAGTCACCCGGAAGCAGGAGAGGACCCCTGTTGTAGTTCGTAGTCGCAGAAATAACTCCTACCTTCCCAGAGGGAAGCAGAGAGGAAAGGGTTCTGCCAACCGGAGAGATTTCGCGGGGCCACCGGGCCACCCAGGGACTCGGTCTTTCCCCGGCTCTCTCTGACTTTCCCTCTTCTCACTCAACAAACTGGTCCTGTGTCCTGGGGCAGTGGAGGGAGGGAACCCGATGTGGGGAGCCCAGCAACCAGCCCTCCTGGCCCGGGGCGCAGCGTCTCTGGCGCCGCGTCCAGCGCGCTCCACCCTCCCGGCCCCGCACCCGCGCCCTGCAGCCCTACGCGCTCCCGGCACCCGCGGCCTCGGCGAGGAGCGACTCACAATTAGAGGCAGGAAGCACACGGTGAAGAGCACGGTCATGAGGGCCAGCAGCAGGAGGTGATCCAGCTCCTCCAGGGGCGGCGGGGACGCCACCTTCTCGCCGGCGCCGGGCTCCACGCGGTCCCGGGTGAGCGAGCGCCGGCGCCGCCGCAGCCGCCGGTGCATGGAGTAGAGGCTGCGCATGGCGCTCAGGTTGCACAGCACGATGGCGAGGACCAGCAGCGCCAGGAGGCTGGCGTAGAGCACCGAGTAGCCCAGCACCGACGGCGAGCGCTCCTCGTGCCCCATCTGGATGAAGCACCAGGTGCCCGGGCAGTACTGCACGAACCTGCCGAAGCCCGCGAAGGGCAGCGCGCAGAAAGCCAGGCAGAAGGCGCCCACCACGGGAGCCACCAGCGCGCCCCGGCGCAGGGTGATGTGCCGTCGGTAGAAGAAGGGGTGCCCCAGGGAGAGCCAGCACTCCAGGGCCATGGCCAGGAGCTGCAGCGTCGAGGCGAGGCCGAAGAAGGACATGAAGAAGGCGAAGACTTGACACAGAGAGCTGCCCGGCGGGGACACCAGCCCCCACAGGCTCCGGTTCTGCGCGTAGGCCGCCAGCACGAAGGGGCTCACGAGGGACTTGCCCAGCAGGTCGGTGACCGTCAGGCCGCACACCAGCACGTAGAAGACGGAAGGCGGCGAGCGCGGCGAGCGCAGCGAGCAGGACGACAGCCCGGAGCGCGCCAGCAGCCCCAGCGCCAGCAGGTTGCCCAGGAGGCCCGCGCTGAAGAGCACCCAGCCCATGGTCGCGGAGTAGCCCTTCTCCACCGAGGTGGTGTTTTGGCAGCGGAGGAACGACGGCTTCATGGCGGGCGGCGTGGAGGCGGCGGGAGGGCCGGGGGCCCCGCGTCCGGGGCTGAGCAGATCCTGGCCGCTCCGCGTGCGCCTCGGGAGGAGAGCTCCGCGGGCTGCCGGGTGTGCCCAGCAGGCACCTCCTATCTAAACTCTCTCGGGGCACACCCCTCCGAGGGGCGGGACGCGCGGCCAGCTGCTCACGCGGCACGGGCGGTGAGGGCGCGCGGAGCAGCCCAGCGCAGCGCTGGGTCCCGATGCTCCGGGTCCTCCGGGAGGACAGACTCCCGCCCAGAGCCGAATAGGAAGAAGGAAAGCTGCGAGCACCCCGGCCAGTCCTTCCTGGGAGTCCAGAAAACGACTGAAATGAAGGGGAAATGAAGCAGCAGCTACTAGGGAGGAGGGGTGTCGAGGAGGCGGTGGCGGAGGTGGCCAAGAGGAACGCTGAAGAGGAGGGCAGTGAGGAGGCTGAGAAAGGGCCACCACCTAGTGTTTGAATTAGTGGGTTCGGGTAGGGGTGTGGTAACTAACATTTGCTTAACACTGAAGCCTGAGCTCGAATTCTCTTCTGGATCTGTGCACCAGCGAGCGCTGACCTGCATGGCCTAGGCGAGGAAACGGAGACCCTGGAAGGTTAAGTGATCTGTCCAAGGCGACAAAGCTAGGAAGGCGCAAAGCTGGACCTGGAGCCCGGATCTTCTACTTATAAAGTCCATCCGTCTTGGCTTCTCCTTCTGAGTTCGGCCAGGTCTCAGGGAAGTGGCTGCAGGGAAAACCAAGGGAGATACTGGCCTTGCTGGCCGTGAATCACAGTGGCGGTGTGGGCATGGTGGGAGGCGTATGGGTAAGAACACTGGTGCTGTCATCCGGTGGATGGGTTCAAATCCTAGTTCCGCTGCTCGCTGCCTGTGTGACCTGAGGGACTCAACCTCTCAAAATATGACCCCTAGCCCGCCAGCCTGGCTCCTTTGAGGCACAGGGATAACATTTAAAGCGCAGACACACAAAAAGTGCTCAGTACAATGCAATTGTCAGGGTTCTCACGTGGTTTTAGGAAGGCTGTTTTAGTAGCTGATATTTAACTGCAGTTCTTAGCACGGATCTGAAAACCAAAAGATAGGAAACTCCACTTAGAGCTTCCTCACTCTGGTTGGTGACTAGGAGAAAAACATGCCTTTCCTCCCAGCCTTTGACTTGGCTGCATCAGAGAGGCAAGGGCACTGTGATAAGTGTGATTTATTTCTTTAGTTATCACTTCATGCCCTAGGAGAGGAACTAACTTTGTGTGTGGAATTTGAGTGGAATGACTGGGGTCATAGTACATGAGCCAGTAGATACTGCCTTGGCTCCAAGAAGCTAATTTTTAGGCTCAGTGCCTGTTCTGATGGACAGACTCAGGGAGAGAGCAAGACCCTGGAGCTTGGATGGGAAAGCCTTAAGCTTAGTCAGGGAGGCTGCCTCCCCAGGAAGCCTGGCCAGTAATTCTGGCCATGGGGTGGAGCCAAAGAGTCCAAGCTTTGGAATTCCTTCTGAACTCTACCACTAGCTGTGTGCCCTCGGGTTACTTTACTCACTCCCTGAGTTCCTTCCCTCACAAGTAGGATACAGTAAGACTAATTCAGGCGACGGGGTGTCTGTGAAAGCCGAAAGTCCATTATATAATAAAGTAGGTTTTCCAAATGTATATCTTAAAAAATTGACAGTTTACCTGCTTTTACTTATGTAGACATGTTTGTATAATTAAAATTAAGTATGTATGGAAAGTTTAATTTCACAGAAAAGCTTCCTATATGTATTACTGTAATTTTAAATTTATACTGACTAGGTCTAGTCAGTATAGTAAGTAAACACATACCCACAGCTTAGCGCAGATGGGAACATTGGCCAGCAGGCGTTAAAACTTCTGCAGAAAGAACTTGGAAGTGTGCCTTCCTCTTGAATTTTTTGGAATAGTCTGAGAAGGATTGGCTTTAGTTTTTCTTTGAATGTTCAGTAACACTCCCCTGTGAAGCCATCTGGTCCAGGGCTTTTGTTTGCTGGAAGCTTTTTGATTACTGTTTTAATTTCATCAGTAGTTATGGGCCTATTCGGGTTTTTTTATTCTTCCTGATTGAGTTTTGGAAGCTTGTATTTTTCTAGGAATGTGTCCATTTCGTCGAGGTTGTCCAGTTTGTTGGAGTAGAGTTGTTCGTAGTATTTTTTAACAATCCTTTGTATATCTGTAGGGTCAGTTGTTACTTCACCTCTTTCATTTCTGATTTTGTTAATTGGGTCCTCTCTCTTTGTTTCTTGGTGAGCCTGGCGAGAGGTTCATCAATCTTGTTAATCCTTTCAGAGAACCAGCTCTTGGTTTCATTGATCTTTTGTATTGTTTTTTTTTTTTTGGTCTCTATGTCGTTTATTCCTCATTCACTGCTTGTGGGAATGCAAATTGGTGCAGCCACTGTGGAGAACAGTATGGAGTTTCCTCAAAAAACTAAAAATGGAACTTACATTTGACCCAGTGATCCCATTTCCAGGAATATATCCCAAGAAACTAGAAACACCAATCAGAAAGGATATATGCACCCCTATGTTCATAGCAGCACAATTTACCATAGCTAAGATTTAGAATCAGCCTAAGTGCCCATCAGCAGATGAATGGGTTAAAAAACTTTGGCACATCTACACAATGGAATATTATGCTGCTGTAAAAAGGAAGGAACTCCTACCATTTGCAGCAGCATGGATGGAGCTGGAGAGCATTATGCTAAGTGAAATAAGTCAGTCAGAGAAAGATAAATATCACATGCTCTCACTCATTTGTGGATTATAATGAACAACATAAACCAATGAACAAAAACAGATGTAGAGACAGAGAAGCATTGATCAGATGCTCAAAACTCAGAGGGAAGATAGGGGAGGGTGGGTGTGAGGGGGAAAGATCATCCAAAGGACTTGTATGCATGCATATAAGCATAAGCGATGGATGTGGACAACAGAGGGTGAGGGTGAGGGCAGGATTGGGGGGATAAGGGGACATTGGGGGGATAAGGACACATTTGTAATATCTTAATCAATAAAAGGAAAAAATAAAATAACAAACAAACAAACAAAAATAATCTGCAGAACCAATTTATGCCATGGGGTGTGATCACGTGCTAGTCATTCACTGAACGTTATTTATGAGCAGTAACTCTTGGATTTAAATATGTAGACTATAGTTGTAGATATGTAATATGTATTTATGTCGGGGAAGTTACTACAGTGTTTTTTCCAACATATGGCCTATTTGCTAACATTTGTTTAAAATAACAGTGAATTAATAACAAAGAATTAATCTGTTAATTTAGTTAGCAAATCTTGGTTAAAAGCATTTTAAAATTAATAGGGTGTTAATTTTCACATATGACATATAGACTGGAAATTTTTTTTCGTTAAATCCCAAGTCCGTCAAATCAAGGTCCGCAAAATCGAGGGTTTACAGCATGGGATTTATGCTGACCTCATGGTGTTGTTGTGAAGTTCAGAAAGCATTTAGAAAAGAGTAATAGTAATAATAAGAGTGAATATTTATAGGTCCTTATACCAGTATATGCTGGGCACTCTCTAATCCATCCACATCTATTCACTCAGTTAATAGAAATCCTTTCACATGGTTAGTCCCCTCTAGTCCCCACCTCTCGCCACCCGCTCAGCCCTTAATGGATAGTGATGGGTTTAGAGGAGCCCCACTTGAGTTGATAAAACCAAAGAAGGAGAAGGTCTTACAACCAAAGACACAAGAATCTAATGAAATCTGAGGCTCCCTCTCCAGACAGACAGACAGACAGACACACACACACACACACACTCACTCACTTTACACCAATTACAGGGTGTGCAGTTTCCTGAAATCCCACTATGGTGCCCAGAGGAGGCCCAGTCACTCTAGCTTAAAAATCCTCCTCTAAGACTCTGGCCAGCGTGGTTCAGTTGGTTGGAGCGTCATCCCATACACTGAAGGATCTCAGGTTCTATTCCTGGTCAGGGCACTTAGGTTGTGGGTTTGGTCTCCATTTGGGGCACTTATAGGAGGCAGCCGATCAATGTTTCTCTCTGACGTTGATGTTCCTCTCTCACATCAATGTCTCTCTCTTCCTCCCTTCCTCTCTCTAAAAAAATTATTAAACATATCCTTGGGTGAGGATTTAAAAAAAATCCTCCTTTAAAGACATTGTAAGTGGTGCTCTGTGAAGTGTACCCACTCCAGTTCTTTGCAGCCTTATTTTTCTGTTACAGCTGCCTCCACCTCCATATCCCTTCCAGGAGCAATGCACAGGGACAGAGGAGCCCAGGATTATAAATAACCTTTTCAAAGTCACTCCGAAGTGTGACTGAAGGGACAGTTATGGACCTGACATGCTATATATATGGTATGCTTCCAAGTTCATGGCTTTGAACGGGTACAATTCAGGAAACCACACATTTCCTCCTGGCCAACGTAGCTGGCCTTTACCATGGGTTTCCGGCTGCTTTGCTGCCTGCTTCGCTCTTGTTCACCCTGTCCTGTTCTCAGGCTTAAGTTTAGAATCTCCTGTCCTTCTAGGCAATCTTATTTTACAACTTCACTGTTCAGCCAAGAAATATATCACTGTTCTTTCATCAAGTATGGTTTGAGCTTTTAGTTTGTGCCAGGCATGGGGTAAGGAGCGTGGGAATGTGACTCTTAGATGACTATAAATTTTAGATCAGCTTTCAGAATAACAAGGCTGATTTTTTTTTCTAAGAAGGAAACTTTTAAAAAAAATTGGCATGCAAAATTGTAGATTAGTACTTTCCCCCTTCTTCTATTTACATTTTATTTTTAAAAATTTTAAAAAATTACAGTTGACATTCAATATTATGTTAGTTTCAGGTATACATAATAGAGGTTAAACCTTTATATAACTTATGAGGTGATTCCCCCTGGTAAGTCTACTGCCCATCTGGACTATATTCCCTATACTGTAGTTTACATCCCCATGACTATTGTATAACTTCCAACTTATATTTCTTAATCCCTTTACCTTTTCCTCCAAGCCCCTCCCATCTGGCAACCATCGGTTTGTCCTCTGTACCTATGAGTTTGTTTCTGCTTTGTTGGTTTGTTTATTTATCGTTTAGATTCCACATGTAATGAAATCATATGGTATTTGTCTTTCTCTGTCTGACTTATCTCATTTGGCATAATATCTTCTAGGTCCATTCATGTTATTGCACAACTTCATTTTTTTCTTTATGGCCGAGGATTATTTCATTGTACATATTTACCACATCTTCTTTACCCATTTGTATAATGATGGACACTTTGATCACTTCCTTATTTTGGCTGTTGTAAATAATGCTGCAATGAACATAGGGATGCATGTGTCTTTTTGATTAGTGTTTTGGATTTCTTTGGGCAAATACCCAGAAGTGGAATTGCTGGGTTATATGGTTAAGAGGGAAACTTTGATTTTTAAATATATATATTTTAATTTATTTATTTCCATCACCATTTATCCCTCCTATACCCTTAAAAATCCTCACCTGAGGACATATAATTGATTTTAGAGAGAGAGGAAGGAAGAGACAGACAGACAGAGAGAGAGAGAGAGACAGACAGAGAGAGAGAGAGAGAGAGTGTGAGAGAGAGAGAGTGTGAGAGAGAGATACTGAACTGGGGATCAAATCCACAACCTTCTGGTGTACGGACAATGCTCCAACCCACTGAGCCACGTGGCCAGGGATAAGAGGGAAACTTTTAATGAAAATATGTTGGGCCCAGGTACATGGTAAAATTATCTTCGTTATCTGCAGATCTGTACCAGGCTGCTTAATTCTAAGACAAATCTGGAAAAATATATATGGCATAATGTGAACAAATTTGAATATATAATTATATTGTGATTTTGTAAATGTAAAAATTCGATTCCTGCTTTTTAGGGTCCCTCCACCTTTTGTTCAGTAAGAAACACCTTTTTGATACCTTTTGCTGTCAAAGTGAGAGATTAAATCCTCCCCAGATTCTGGGGAATGGGTGTGTCCTGGCCAAACTCAGGTGACTTTTTGTTTCCAGAGCATACTCTCAGTTTTAGCTTGGCTGTGGTTTAAGCTGTAAATATTAGCATGGATTTCAAAAGAAATCTATGGGTGGTGACCGGGAGTAAATCAGTGGTGGAGTAAGAACCCAATGATAGGTTGTGACAGTTCTCTGATGAGTGAGATTTTCTAGCAGTTTGTTCCAAGGCGGGTGTCAGCAGATGTGGCCGATTTGTTCCCTGTGAAGCAGACTCTGAGATGGAGATTATAGGACATTTTTAAAGAGTGTTTTTTTGTATTCACACCCATGAAAGGGAAGGAACAGAAGCAGGATTGGGCGGAGGAAGAAGTCAGGCTGTGATACAGTTTTAATAAAAGGCCTTAACTAACCTGAGAGGGGTCCTCACAATTGTTCTGGGTTGGGAGTGAGGGTCTTTACACCCCTGGGCGGGGGGCGGGGGGGACCAGACCCAGGGGGTGAGGGACGGGAGAGGGTA